GTATATGTAATATATATATACATATATGTACATATATATATACACACACATAGTTATTGGGATGCCAACCAATATGTACTCTTTGGGAGGCCCTTACTAGGACCCAGAAGGGTTAATTGCAATGTACTCCAGGAATCAGCTACAGAAGATGAACAGTGGCCTCCCTCCAAAGATGAAAGAAGATACATGGTAAAGAATGACTAGCAGCTGGCCCTGTGTGGTGGACAAACTGATGAGATTAATTAGACAGAGAACAGTCTGGCCTCAGAATCAGCCCCGAAAGCAGATCGCAGAGTGCTGTGGAGAAGGGCACCCACCCTGCACCCTAACATTAGCCCCACAAGCCGGTGCTCACTCCCAGTGCTCACCTCCTTGTCCACCACCCGCAACGACCGGAAGTAGGAGTAGAAAAATGTGTCAGTGATCATCAGTGGATTCTGGATAGCCAGTTCTCTCAGAAAATGGTCTTCATCACTCGAATCCTTCAGCAGCGCCCACGGGGAGTGGGGGCTGCGGACCAGGCCCAGCAGGGTCTCCACGGTCTCCTCCTCAGGGCCTGCCTTGTCCACCTCTCTGGGGACCAGCTCCTTCCATGTTCGCCAAGTTTGAGGAAGAAAGCGCGACTTATTCTGCAGTGGTAGAGTGGAGAATTTAGGTGTGACTCAGCCCTCTGAAGGATTCAAAACTCTTCAAATCAGCATTCTCTGTCAACCTTTGGGCCTGACTGTCCTTTCTTGTGGGGACTGTCCTGTCCTTTGCACTGAAGGACAGTGAGCAGCATCCCTGGCCTCTGCCTAGTAGATGACAGTAGCAGCTTGTCACTAGTTGTGACAATCAAAAATATTCCCAGATGGTGCCTAAGGTCCCACAAGAGGAAAAATCGCCTTAAGTTGAGAACCCCTCAAATTGTAGCTCCAGAGATGCGCAGACCCAAACCTCCTGTTGGAACCAGGCAGCCCCTGCCCCTGAGTCCCCTAGAGCCCTCAGGTCCTCCGCTCAGCCTGCGCTGCCCGCCTCTCTCGCCCTCCGGCTCACTGCGCCCGCCCGGGCCCAGGCCCAGGCCCTCGACCCTCCGCCTCCACCATGCCTGGCCCCTCAGACCCCTCGGACCGCGCCGGTGCGCGCACCCAGCTGCCGGTGCCGCACGGGAACTCCCGCAGACACAGCTCCCGTAGGTGCTCTTGCACAGCGGCGCTCACTGTGCGGTTCCCTGACCTGCTGCTCCTGCGGGCCTCCATGCCCGGTTGCCCGGCAACCGCCGGGACGCTCACTCCTCCAACAGCGCCCGCCGTGGGTTCCCAGGTGTTGCTAAGCAACTTCCAGACCACTCCCCTCCCCCGCAGTGGGATCCAGGGCGGGGCGCATGCTCAAACCCGCGGGAGCGCGCGGCCACGGGCCGCCCTTGGAACCCTGCCCCCGGCTTGGCGAAGAGTAGTAGGTTTCCCTGGAGGGACGGTCTCAGCCCCAGACCACCTGGGTTTTCTCTTCTGACCTCATCTGTAAAAATGAGATGATAATTTACTGACCCACCGGACGGTAGGTTTAACTGCTGCAGCTCCCAGCAGGTATTGAGCCTTCCCAGGGCCACATGTGGCCCCAAGGCTGCGGATTCCCCTCCTCACTTGTTCCTAGTTCTCCGCCCAAGCACTCCCCGCGAAAAGTGGTGGTTATTATACCTATTTTACAGACCTAGAAAAGAGAAATCAACCCAAGATCAAACATCTGAAGACTCAGGCCAGGCTCAGTGGCTCACACCTGTAGTCCTAGCACTCCGGGAGACTGAGGCAGGTGGATTGCCTGAGCTCACAGGTTTGAGACTAGTCTGAGCTAGAGGGAAACCTCGTCTCTAAAAATAGCTGGGCCGTGTGGCAAGTGCCTGTAGTCCCAGCTATTCAAGAGACTGAAGCAAGAGGATCATTTGAGGCAAGAGACTCCCTTGAGCCCAAGAGTTTGAGGTTGCTTGAGCTATGACGCCACAGCACTCTACAAAGGGCAACAAAGTGAGACTGTCTCAAAAAAAAAAGAAAAAAAAATCTGAAAACCCCAATCAGGGGTTTCAATGTCATCTCTCTAATTGCAGAGTCAGGAGTTTTGTTGCTGCCTACCTGTTTAACCATTTTGGCACCAGGACTTCATCTGCGACTGATCCAGGCTTATTCATCTCTCCTTCCCTCATGGTATAGCTGCACAGTAGGGGTTCCTGGACATTAGTAAAATTAATGGGATAAGATGATTTGGTTCCTGTAATTGGGGAATGAAACATGTTTGTTGAGATATAATTTATATACCATAAAATTCACCCATTTAAAGATACAATTGTGTAAGCTTTAACATATTCACAGTGCAGCCATCACTCTAATCTAATTTTCAACATTTTTCTTACCCCATGAAGAAACTGGTACCCGTTAAGCAGTCAATCTCCACTCTCCCATCTGCCCAGCCTCAATACGCTTTCTGTCTCTACTGATTTGACTTTTTCATGTAAGTGGAATCATACAGTATTAGTCCTTTCACATCCAGATTCATTCACTTACAGTGTTTTCAAGGTTCTTCCATGTTGTAGCCTGTATCAGCACTTCATTCCTTTTTGTGGCTAATTGATATTCCATTGTATAGACAGACCAAATTTTGTTTATCTGTTCATCAGTAGATGAATATGTCCATTGCTTCCACTTTTTGGCTACTGTGAATAATGCTGCTATGAACATCTGTGTAGAAGTTTTTCTGTGAACATACTTTCTTTTGGGTAGAAATCTAGGAATGGAATTTCAGGGTAGTATGTTAACATTTTTGAGGATCAGGCTCACACCTGTAATCCCTGCTCTGTGGGAGGCCAAGGCAAGAGGATCACTTGAGGCCAGCCTGGGCAACATAAAGAGACCTTGTTTCTACAAAAAAATTAAAAATAAGCTGGGAGTGGTGGTATATGCCTATGGACCCAGCTAGTGGGGAGGCTGAGGCAGGAGGGCTGCTCAATTCCAGGAATTCAAGGCTGCAATGAGCTATGATTATGCCACTGCATTGCAGGCCTGGGAAATACATCAAGACCCTGTCTCAATAAATAAATAAATAAAAATATATACATATATATATATGGAACAAAATGTTTTCCACAGCAGCTGTGCCATTCTGCTCTCCTACCAGTAACATGAGAGTTCCAATTTATTTATTTGTTTGTTTATTTATTTATTGAGGCAGAGTCTCAAGCTGTCACCCTGAGTAGAGTGCCATGATGTCATAGCTCATAGCAACCTCTAACTCTTGGGCTCAAGCCATCCTCTTGCCTCAGGTTTTCTCTTTTTAGTAGAGACAGGGTCTTGCTTTTTATTCAGGCTGGTCTTGAACTTGTGAGCTCAAGCAATCTACCCACCTTGGCCTCCCAGAGTGCTAGGATTACAGGTGTGAGCCACCTCACCAGGCCTCCAATTTTTTTTTTATATTCTCACCAAGACCTGGGCTTTTTTTTTTTAACTTTTCAAAATTATTATTGGGCAGCGCCTGTGGCTCAATGAGTAGGGCACCAGCCCCATATACTGAGGGTGGCAGGTTTGAACCTGGCCCCGGCCAAACTGCAACAAAAAATTAGCCAGGTGTGGGTGGTCCCTATGGCTCAAAGGAGTAAGGCGCTGGCCCCATATGCTGGAGGTGGTGGGTTCAAACCCAGCCCCAGCCAAAAACTGCAAAAAAACCCAAAATAATTAGCCAGGTGTTGTGGTAGGTGCCCGTAGTCCCAGCTACTTAGGAGGCTGAAGCAAGAAAATCCCCTAAGCCCAAGAGCTGGGGGTTGCTATGAGCTGTGATGCCATGGCACTCTACTGAGGGCAACAAAGGGAGACTCTATTCTAAAAAAAAAAGTAAAAAATTGGCTTGGCACCTATAGCTCAACCGGCTAAGGCGCCAGCCACGTACACCTAAGGTGGCGGGTTCGAATCCCCAGCCCGGACCCGCCAAAACAACAATGACGGCTGCAACCAAAAAATAGCCGGGTGTTGTGGCGGGCGCCTGTGGTCCCAGCTACTTGGGAGGCTGAGGCAGGAGACTCGCTTGAGCCCAGGAGTTGGAGGTTGCTGTGAGCTGTAATGCCACGGCACTCTACCCAGGGGGACAGCTTGAGGCTCTGTCTCAAAAAAAAAGTAAAAAATTAATAAATAAAATTATTATTATAGCCATCTTAGTAGGTGTGAAACGGTACCTCGTTGCAGTTTTTATTTGTATTTCACTAATGCCTGACTAATGATATTGGGCATCTTTTTCATGTGCTTATTATGGTTGTTTATATATCTACTCTGGAGAAATGTCTATTCAAATCCTTTCCCCACTTTTTGTTTTTGTTTTTGTGAGATAGAGTCTCACTATGTCACCCTTAGTAGAGTACTATGGAGTCACAGCTCACAGCAACCTCAAACTCTTGGGCTTAAGCCATTCTCTTACCTCAGCCTCCCAAGTAGCTGGGACCACAGGCACCCACCACAACATCCAGCTATTTTTGTTGCTGTTGTTGTCATTGTTGTTTAGCAGGCCCTGGCTGGGTTCGAACCCTCCAGCCCCAGTGTATGTGGCTGGTGCCCTAACCACTGACCCACAGGCACCGAGCCCCTTTCCCCATTTTTTAATTGGGTTACTTGTCTTTTTATTGTTGAGTTGTAAGAGTTTTTTCATATGTTCTAGATAATACCCCTTATTGATGACTTGTAAATATTTTCTTCCATTTTGTGGGTTGTCTCCTCACTTTCTTGATAGTATCCTTTGAGATACAAAAGTATTTAATTTTAATAAAATGATTTATCTATTTTTTCTTTGGTTACTTATGCTTTCAGTGTCATTTCTTGGAAACTATTTCCAATCCATAAAATTGAGTTTTAAGTGTTCTTTATATGTTCTGTTGACAAGTCTTTTGTTACGTGTGTGTCTTACAAATAATTTTCTCCCATTCTAGGCTTTTCTTTTCTTGTCTTTCTTTTTTATTTATTTATTTTTGTTTTGACTCCCTCTGTTGCCCTGGTTAGAATTCCAGGGCATCATACCTCACAGCAAACTCAAACTATTTTTTTTTTTTTGAGACAGAGTCTCAAGCTGTCACCCTGGGTAGAGTGACATGGCATCACAGCTCACAGCAACCTCCAACTCCTGGGCTCAAGAGATTCTCCTGCCTCTGCCTCCCTAGTAGCTGGGATTATAGGCGCCCACCACAATGTCCGGCTATTTTTTGGTTGCAGCCGTCATTGTTGTTTGGCGGGCCCAGGCTGGATTCGAACCTGACAGCTCTGGTATATGTGGCTGGTGCCTTAGCTTCTTGAGCCACAGGCGCCGAGCCGAAATCTCAAACTATTGATCTCAAGTGGCTCTCTTGCCTCAGCCGCCTGAGTAGCTGAGACTACAGGTGTCCACCACAATGCCCAGCTAGTTTTCCTATTTTTAGTAGAGTGGTATCTCACTCTTGCTCAGTCTGGTCTTGAACTCCTGAGCTCAGGCAATCCACCCACTTCAGCCTCAGGTTACAGGCTTGTCTTGTCATTCTCGTAACTGTCTTTAGAAGAGCAATAAACTTTGCTTTTGAGAAAGTCCACTTTATTGATTGTGATCCTTCCAAAAACACCCAATGTGGTGAACATCTGTCTTAGTCAGTTCCTGCCACTAAAACAAAATATCTTATACTGACTTATAAAGAACCTAAATTTACTTTCCCACAGTTCTGGCAGCTGGGAAGTCCAAAATCAAGGTCCTGGTATATTTGCTGTCCAGTGAGGATAGCTCTGTGTTTCCAAAATGGCACTTTCTTGTATCTTCACATAGCAGAGGGGGCAAAAAGGGATGAACAACGTGTACTCACATGGAGAAAAAGATGGCAGGGCCAGGCAGCTCTCTGAAGCCTCTTTCTAGAGGCCATTAATCCCATTCATGGGGGACCCACATGACTTAATACTACCACATTTGGTATTAGGTGTCAATATATGAATTTTGGAAGGACACATAACATACAAATCATGATAACATCTACCATTCCTTCTACTATTAGAAAAATTATCCCAAACCCAGTCAGGTATGGTGGCTCTTGCCTGTAATCCTACTAGCATTCTGGGAGGCCAACGTGGGAGGATTGCTTGAGCTCAGGAGTTTAAGACCAGTCTGAACAAGAGGGTACCCCATCTCTACTAAAAAAAAAAAAAGCCAAGTATTGTGGTGGGCCTCTGTTGTCTCAGTTACTTGAGAGTCTGATGCAGGAGGATCATTTGAGCCC